GCCCCTCCTCCTCCCCCCCCCCCCCCCCCACAGCCCTGCCCCCTTAAGCCCTGTCTGGCCCCACATGTCCTCTCCCTTCACAAAGTTCAGAGACAACTAGGACGACTTTGCTTTGGAGGCAGCATGCTCTAGTGGATAAAGCAACGACATGGGCGCTCAGTGAGCTCGGGCAAGTCACCTCCCTGCTCTGTGCCTCAGTTTCCCATCTGTCAAACGGGGAGGGTGCTAGTGACCCACCTTTTTGAGAGCGGTGGATGAAAAGCAATCTAGGAGAGCTATCGGTCTGACGCACACGCCCTGCCCTAGACAGAGAGCAAGGCCTGTAGACAGCGGATGTCGCCCTCCACTCAGGCCTGGCTGCCTTAGGCCCAGCGTCTGTCGCACGAAGCAAGGAGGGAGAAGCTGCCTCGTTTTATTTCCCTTCCTCTGGCTCCAGATTTGCAGGAAAAGGTTTCCAGGCTGCTGGGGGAGAAGAAGGAGCTCACCATCCAAGTGCAGGAGTTGCAGAGCCAGATCAGAGAGCTCGGGGACCAGGTACGGTGCCGACGCCGGACTCTCCTTGGCGCTCTGCTCGGCCGCGATGCTCACTTGAGCTCGGCCGCTGCTGTGCTGAGACCACCGCTCACCGCGCTGACGCCTCTCGTTACCTTGTGCTCCCCTGTCTGTCGCTGCCTGTTGTTTGTAGCCTGACGCGCAGATTGTAAGTTCGCGGGGGCAGGGGCTGTCTCTTCGTTCTGTGTCTGCACGGTGAGGTGCTCGGTGCTACCATAATCCAAATCAGTAATCGGTGCAGAGGTGGCGGGCTCGAGCTGCTGCATGTTGCTGGCCCCATCGCTCTCTGGGGAATGCCCAGGCCTGGCCCCCGTTTCACTCACCCTGGGTCAGCCAGTATAGCTCCCCTGAGCTCAACGGGTTTGCACTGGTGTATGTCAGAGGGGGATCCGACCCCAAGCTTCCCCCTAAGACAATAAAGGCTGAATTCCTCCCTGGCCTTGGCTCAGAGCCCCAGGAGGCTGGGAGATTCCTCCTTTGCGCATCCCCGATGCTGGGGCTGCCTGGGGCAACTCCCCTTCACCACAGTATAGAGCAGCCCGAGGGCTGCCCTGAATTGCACTTGGCTACCCACGGCCGGTACGGGCTGCTGCTGCATCTGGGAATAGCCAGACTGCAGCAGAGCTCCGGCTCGCCCCTGGAATGTCCCCAGCGTGCCCCTGGGGGTGACGCGGAGTCACCTGCTGGGGATCCCCCTCCGCCAGGGCTATTCCCCAGGGGCCAGGTCGAGCTGGCTGAAGGCCCCTTGATGCTGGCAGTTGCTCAGACTAAGCCACTGGCTTTGGCCAGCACAACCCAGCAGCAGACGCCTTTCACAGCGAGAACTTTCCTCCTAGGGGCAGAGTGATGGCTTCAGTATCCCCACTACTGGCAGAGGGTTTGACACGGACCATCCCTGAGCTCCTGCCCCTTAGAGCCCGGCACAGAGCTCGCTCCATTACACCCTCAGCCTTCACCCTGCCTTAGGACGCTGGAGACCCCCAGTGCAGTTACAGGCCTTCCCGGTGCCTGACTGTCCTCACGGCTCTTCGCTGCTGTGTGGGCGCCGATTCCCTGGACGGCTGAGCCAGGGAGGGAGTGGGCAGCCTGCCAGATCCAAAGGCCTCTCTATGCACAGCCACCTGCCCTCCCCTGGGGTGAACGCTGCCCCCCCCATAGGTGCAGGGGTTGGATCAAGCCTGGGATCTACTCAAGCCCATGGGCTGCTGAAGTCAATGGGGCTGAGTTTGGTGCAAATAAAGAACCACACCGGGTGTCCCACTGCAGGTGGAAGAGGAGCGAGCAGAGAGGCGGTCCCTGCAGGCCGCGATGGACCGGAGTCACAAGGCCCTGAAGAAGTACAAGAGAGGTGAGTCATGGACAGAACTGCTCCAGACTGCTCCGGTGCCGCGTTTTCAGTGAAACACTGGCCTTCCTGCCGCGCTGAAAAGTTTCCCAAACCTTTTTTTTTTAATTTCCCTTTTGTTGTCCAGTTAAACTAATGATTGAAAACTTTAGCCCTTTTTGTTTGGTTTTTCCTCTGTTTTTCAGTTTAGCTTTTTTCCTTTTTTCCTCTCCTTTTTCCATGGCAAAAGGGGGGAGGAGGGAAATCAGAGAAACAAGAAAAAACATAACCCTCCCTCCCCCCAAAAAATATGTAAATCAGAACATTTTCAAAAGTGAATATTTTCAGTGTGAGGTTTTCTCAAGGAAAAAAACCCACCTGGGAAGTGGGAACTGGGCCTTTTGGACACCTGTGGAATGGAAATCCAGTTCTGAATTTTCAAAATGTTTCAGGAACATTTGCTCCCATTTTCCAAGCCCAGGTCACTGAGCACAACTTGGGCCAGGTCCATCCCGGCTGATGGAGTTTCCTGTGACCCTGCTCCCATGTGGGTTTTTTCCTTTCTGCCTCCTGTCCCCTCTGCTTGCTTCTCGTGTCCCATTCGCCGGCTGGCTCATGCCCAGAGCTCGGCTGGAACTTGGAAGGGTGGGATCAGTGGGTTTAGTTTGATGAGTACCTAGATGTTTAGCTGTTGTGCTCCAAATACCTTCTCCAAAGCACCTGTGTGACTGTGAACCACACGTCCCATCGAGCACCTGATGAAAATCCGTTGCTAGAACTCCTGTCTGAGCCCATCAAAGAACCTACCGATAGGACTTACCTGGCCCCCATTAGTGTCCCATCTCCCCATGTGTTTATCTTCTTCCCACGGCCCCTGTGAGGTAGGGCAGTGTTGTTACCCCATTGTTCAGGCACAGAGAGACTCAAGCGATGGCTACGTTGCAGCTGGGGGAGTAATCTCCAGCTCAGGTAGACATACCTGCGCTAGCTCTGATAGCTGAGAGTCTCACCTGACTCCAGGAGCTGGGGCTTCACACCCCCCCCCAAATATCCTGAGAATCGGGGCGCAGTCATGAGAACTGGCAGCCCTGCAGCAGTGGGGGCTGCAGCTCCGGGCTGAGGGGCATCAGCTGAGCTGGTCTGTGCTATCGCTCCCTGTCACATTCAACCTGCATTGTGTTTATTGCAGCCACGTAGGGGAATCGGCCTGGCCATGGCTGGGGTGGGGTGGGAGGGACACTGGTCAAAGGGGAGGAGGGAGCTTACTCGGGGGTAGAGCCTTGGAGCAGGTCACTATCAATCCAGGGAGGGCCGGGCAGTTGGACCAGGTCTAAGAGCTGCTGGTGTATTACTGATCCTGCAGTTCTTACTCGGGCAAACCTCCCAATGATGTCGGTGGAATTTGTCCCGAGGGAGAAGCGCAGGATCAGACCCGTGTCACTGCCCCAGCCCATGCGGGTGCAGCGCCGGTCGAAGCCAAGGGTTGAATTTGTCCCCGGTGTCTCCTGGAGCCGGCGATTGGTTGGTGCCCCGGAGACGCACGTGGGGAGAGGCTGAGCGACGGCTCTTCTCCCCCGGGCAGTGTCCCAGATGGTCGCTCAGGAGTACAGCGAGGCCGTGCAGCAGCTGGAACTGGAGCAGGACCTGAGGCAGCACGCGGAGACCTTTGCGCACAAGGTACAGGATGGCGCGGGGACAGCTGCGAGGACCGGAGAGGGAGAGGAAAAGAACACGGGGGAGGAAGGTGTGGAGGAAAGGAGAACACCCCTTGGGTCCTACACCCAGCTCTGCTGATGCCCCTCAAGCCTGTCTTGCAGCCCCCCTGCTATCCCAGCCCTGGGCTCCACCCCCTGCTCTGCTGGTGTCCCCCAGTCCTGCCCTAGATCTCTCCTGGCTATTGCCGGGAGCGAGAGCAGGCGTGATGTTACGCAGAGCCTTGAAGATGAGGTCAATGGACGGTCCCTGGACGCAAGCAGCGGGTGGGGGGAGGGCAAGGCAGTGGGCCAGGAGGGCGAGTCCAGGAGCTGTGCTCAGCGGGCTTTGGCCAGCGCTGTGCAAAAGGCCCCTGCCGGAATCCCAGCGCCCGGGACCGTCGGCACGAGGGGCGTAACCTTGAGCCCGGGGCTGAAACGCACAAGCACGCAGTCCCTGATGGCTCAGTCTGTGCAATCATCTCCCAAGGGAAGGGAAGGGAGCCCCGTCACCTGGCACATTTGCAGACCGGGCAGAGCCCTGGGGAATGCGCCTGCCGAGGCTGCGGGTGCAAACGCTGGGCCCGATGCTAGGAGTCAGTAGGGTCCCTGGGGAGTGCCAGGGCCCAGGAGGTCAGGGGACAGTGGATGGTCTGCATGGGAAGAGCTGCTTGGCCCTGGGGTAACTCTCCTCAGCTCGGCCTTCCTCTCTCCTCCGCTAGCAGCAGTGGTTCCTAGCGGGCAGGGCAGAAAGTCTGAGCAGGACAGGGCAATGCTGACATCTCTGCTCCGCTCCGGGCCTGTCCCACCCCCCAGCCACAGCGACCCTGCCGCTCTCCTTAAACACCTTCCCCTCCCTGCACCCTGGACAGCAGCCTGGCCTGCTTCTCCTGCTGGCAGCTGCAGCTCCCGCACTGCCTGCCCTGGACACCTCATGGGTATTGGGTGCCCCTCTCCTGCACCCCAGCCCCATGTCACTGGCCCCCCACAGCCCAACCGGCCTCGGGAAAGTCCAGGGGTGAAAGGGTTAATGGCTATGCACACATTACACCAGCCTTGGACTGGCACCACATTCAGGCCTCAGTGACACCTGCACCAGCCCAGCTGCCCTTAGTGCGTTTCCCCCGGGGCAAGTGATTGGCCCTAAATTGGACAGCAGAAAACAACCCCGTTCACGATGCACAAGAGGGACAAGGCCCCGGCTCCCTCACCTGGAGCCAAGCTGGCCCAGTGGGGCTGATGGAGCCAGGCCCCAGTTTCCTCACCTGGAGCCAAGCTGGCCCGGCGGGGCTGATGGAGACAGGCCCCAGCTCCCTGCCCCAGAGCCAGGCTGGCCCGGCGGGGCTGACGGAGCCAGGCCCCAGTTTCCTCACCTGGAGCCAAGCTGGCCCGGCGGGGCTGATGGAGACAGGCCCCAGCTCCCTGCCCCAGAGCCAAGCTGACCCAGCGGGGCTGACGGAGACAGGCCCCGGCTCCCTGCCCCGGAGCCAAGTTGGCCCAGCGGGGCTGACAGAGACAGGCCCCGGCTCCCTGCCCCACAGCAGGGCTGGCCTGCTGGGGCTAACAGGAGTAAAAATACAAATTCCTGCCTCTCCAAGTGCCTGGCCCGTGCGCACTGAAGTTAGCGGAAACCTCCTATTGCCTGGAACAGGCCGCGGGGCCCAGCACGTTCCACACGTTCCTCTCCAAGCGCTTCCCAATGGAAGCATTTTACTGATGCGGAGCGAGCCCCGGAGAGGAGAAGAGACTTGGCCAGGGTCACCCAGCTGGTCAGTGGCAGAGCCGGGAACGGCGCCTGGTGACTGCTCCCTTCCAAAAGGTGCAGAGAGTCGCGTCACGTGCTGTGACGCCGGACGCCCCTTGGGGGCAGAGCTGGGAGGGGCCGTGGGAACAGCGGCTTTGCGGCATCGAAGGGCGGCTGGATGCGGTACCCACGAGCCCTCGACTGAACCCTCCCCGATCTCTTGGGCGCAGATGCTGGTGAAGCAGAAGGAAGCCAATAGGCAGAGCATGATCCTGCTCCAGAACGTGGGCCCCAACGCCCAGCTGCTCCAGGCCCTGGACGAGGTGGCTAGCCTGACTGGGGCGCTGGAGGAAGCCAAGCGGGAGCACCAGGAAAAGGTTAGGGACTGTCTCGGTAACCAGGGATGGCCTGGGCTAACCCCGGCATTCGCCTGGATCATCAACCCCCTGCCCCCCCGTATCTGCTTACTGAGCTGTGGGGCTCTCCAGGGGGTGCCGCCATCGCCCCTCCCTATAGAGCAGCAGGGACCTTTGTATGGGCCCGTGAGACCCAGGTGCTTGCTGCTCCATAGTGGGGGTGGGGTGGGGTGGGGGGATCTGTCCATGCGCTGCTCCCTCCCTCGAGACCCCAGCTGCTCTCCGAAAGGCCTGGGCCACCAGGAGTATCCCGCTGCAGCCTGGGAGGTCCCGGCACCGAGGAGTAGGGCTGATTGTCAGCCCCTCCCTCTTCCCTTCTGGAGCCCTGTGGCTCCAGGGGGTGGGGGAATTGTGTTAGGGATCAGGCCTAGCTGCACCTCAAACCCGTCTATCTGAGTGCTCCCCCCACCCCCCAGGGTCGGGCCCCGGGCTGCCACCTGCCCCAGGGTGGAGTCCTGCCCGTCTCCCACTCTGAGCCCGGGTCCCAGGGCTCCGGCCCTGTGTGCCCCCGTGACTGCCCAGCAGGCCCCATGGGCTCCGGCCCTGTGTGCCCCCGTGACTGCCCAGCAGGTCCCAGGGCTCCGGCCCTGTGTGCCCCCGTGACTGCCCAGCAGGCCCCATGGGCTCCGGCCCTGGGAATCTGCCCTTCGGAGCTGCCACCAGCAGGGACTACGGAGACCCAGCAGCCTCTTCCCCCCAAGTGCGGCTGAATGGCAGCAGTAAGGACACAGCCCAGCAGAAGGGTCAGCCCACGTCTCTGTCATGGGGGTGTGTGTCTGCACTGCACTGTGAATCCAGTTCTGGGGGATCCGGGCTGGTGGCTCGGCGTTGCCGAGCGTCCCCCCTGCATTGTAAACCTGGGTATACAGTGGCTGGAGCCAGGCCTCACAGCCATGCTAACGCATCTGCACTGCACAGGCCTCCTGACTCAGCTCTGCGGCTCGAGCTGCGTCCACACTGCAAAATGACAGGGCTTGGACTTGGGCTCTGACTTGGACTCACAGCAGGACTTGGGCTCTGACCCACCCCCCCAGCAAGGCCCTAGGACCAGGATCCCGGGTGCTCGCTGACCCAAACCAGACTGAGGTGTGTGTGGACAGAAGTGGGGCTTGGGCTCAAACCTGAGTCAGAGCCCAGCTTAGTGTGCAATATAGACACCCCCAGGGAGGCCTAGCTTATCCCAGACACCCTCAGCTGTGAGCATTGGGGTTCAGCCTGCTCCCCAGCAGCCCCTGCCTCCCCCTCTGCCGCGGCGTCCGGAGACTGGCTGTTTATCCCCCACGCCCCGCGAAGTTCTTTGCTCCAGTCTTTCCCACTTGGATCCTCCCTGGGCCAAGCCGCACTCTTGAGCTCAGCCTGGTCACAGGGAAAACTGCCGAGCGAATGACGCTGGAGTGGTCCCATATGTCCTGCTCAATGGGGCGATCCGGGCTAAGGGCCCCACTCCTGCATAGGCCTAGGTCACCCCTGCTTGGCTGCCTTCCCCTCCCCCGTGTGGTGCTAGAGCAAACCACACAGACAGATGGAACACGTAATATTGTATGTTCCAGGCAGCCCCACGGGTGGCCTCAGTGACCTCTCTCCAAGCAGCCAGGCGGCGGCCGGAGGCGCGTGCCCTGGTGCTGGCGTGGCTCCCTGGCCGGGGAGCACGGTGTGTCTCTCGGGTGGATGACTGGGGCACTCCTGGACTGGGCCGAGGCCCCCTGCACGCCTCTTCTCTTCTGCCCTCAGGTGAAGGGTCTGCAAGAGCAGCTAGAGGGGACCCAGGAGCAGCTGGGCGCCGTGCGAGCGGCCCTGGCTGCAGCCGAAGCAGAGACGCTGCAGCTGGGGGAGCAGCTGCACCAGGCGGAGGAGAGGAACGTGGAGTTGGAGGGGAAAGGTAGGTGCTCGCCTCGCTGCTCCTGCGCTGGCCTCTCCACCTGGCGATTAGCACCCAGCCCCCCTCCCTCCCTGCTCCGGACCCCCAAGGGGGGCCCAGGTGCGAGGCAGGCCCAGCTGGGTCTGACGGACACTCCTGGCGAGGGGGCTGGCTGGATTAGAGCCATCCGTGCCGAGGGTCTCTCCACCCTCTCGGGAGTGGGCCTGGTGTTACAGCCGCTGGACGCCAGCGGTACGGTTCAGATCAGACCTCCCCCCAGCCCCCACGTCTAAGGCTGTGCAGAGCCCCAGAGCTGGGGCTTCAGCCCCTCGTGCGGCCAAGACCTCCGCACTGGAGCTGGATTTCAAACCTCTCCGAGCTTCGGGGGCATGCAGCTCCCAATGGGGGCGGTGACTTGGGCCGATCTCTTTCCTAGCTCGACCCCCAGAGCCTCCCCTCCCCTCCCATCATCGGATCCTGCCTCCCCGCCCGTTCCCCCATCCCCCAGCCCTGCTCCCCCGCCATTCCACGGCCCCCCTGCCTCCCCTCTCATGTCCAATCGCGTCACCTCCGTCCAGCCCTCACTCTCGGCCCGAACAGCTGTGGTGTGTTTTTTTTAATGCAAATTAGCAGCTGGGGAGAGAACAGAGGAACCAGCATGGTGTGACCAGCAGCTGTCCAAGGCCAGTTCTCCACAGGCCAGCGTCTCGGGGGGGTGGGGGGGGAGGGCGGGAGACATAAGAACGGCCCTGCTGGGGCAGACCGATGGGCCGTCTAGCCCAGTCTCTGCGGCCCCCCCGAGCTCTGACCGTATTCCTAACTGCATTCCCTTTCAGTGACGGTACTAGAAGAGAAATTGGAGAGGGCTGAAGCCCCGCCTTCTGAACCTGATTCGCCAGAAGTGGCTCCTCCCCCACCCCCACCACCCCCACCTCCTCTGCCACTGCCAGCATCTTCCGCCCCCATGGAGTAAGTGCCACCCACACCCAGACCTTCCCCTACAGAGACCGCTGGCCCCAAGGGAGTCGCTCCTCTAGTGGCGCATCAGCAGCTGGCTGTCAGTCCGAGCCCAGCCACTGGGGGGGGACATGGCACACTCCTAGTCCGTGCATTGCATATGCTTGTGCCAATGTTTGCTGCAAACCAGCGGTTCTCAGCCTTTCCGGACTCAGGACCCATCGGTAACCCCGGATGGCTTTTCAGGAGCCAGTCAATAGCGTTAGTGCAAAAGCCGTCTGGGATAGTAACTACGTCTTACCCATGATAGACAGCGTACGTGTTAATGTAAAGTGCTAAATCAGTCCCCCGGGCAGCCCCTAGCCGCAGCTCCTGTCCTGCAGGGCTCGCTGGGCGTGACTCCCCACTCCAGGCCTTGTCCCCCTGCCGAGGACCAGCCAGAGTGGCATTGCAGCCCGGCAATTGCATGGGGCCGCGGCGCCACTCACTCCGGTTTGGCCTGGCCAGCCTGCATCACCATGACGGAGGGGCGGGTGGGCCAAACCTGAGCCGTGCTGGGACCTCGTACGCTGGGTGGCAACGCCCGGAGCGGGCAGCGGAGCCCAGCCAGCCCATTGGAGCCACAGGGGCTGCCACTGCAGGGTGAAGACAGGGCAGGCTCTGCAACACACTCCCAGGGCCCCCAGGAAGGACCCACCCTGGATCTCTCCCCCTCCCCCTCCTTTGACACATTCGGGCAACCCAATTTTGGGTCATGAGCCACAGGTTGAGAAACCTTGCTGTGAATGCCGTGGGGAGCCCGGGGGGCGGGGAGGGGTAACGAATCAAACAGCCTTTTACCTTCATGCTGCCCGGCTCCGTCAGGTCAGCCACCACCAGACGTTCTGATGGTAGGTGGCTTGTGTGAAACAAGTTTGCTGGGTCTCAGCTGAGTTCCTCTCTAAGTGGGTAGTCCAACGGTAGAGCAGACCACAGAGATGGGTCTCCCTGTTGGTTGATCAGGGACCCCAGCCCCCTCGTACACAGGCAAGGAGTAGTGGGGGAGCCTGCCCTGCTACAGATCCCTGGCCAGAACCCCGCATCCTCAGCACATCCCTGGTGCCCCCTGCCAGAGCCCCAGACTCCCCCTACCTGTCCAGACCTCCACACCACCTGTACACCCCGCACTCCCCACCAAAGTCCGTGGTGTCTTCCTCTGGGGCTGTAACCAGCACTAAATGCAATTTACATCTGCCCCCTGCCCCGTCTACTGCTCTCCCAGCCTCGGGTCCCACACGGCTTCCCTATATGTTCACGCTCCTCACCCTGCACGATTCTGTGCCTGCCGACAGGGAAGACATGGAGTTACTGGCTGGGGGGGACAAAGCGTATATGGAGTTCTGGCAGGGGCATTGACCGTCTGGGGATGAGTGCAGAGATCCGGGCCAAGGGGATCATTGTGGGCACTCCAGGGAGCTGGGGGGGCATTGAGGGTGTGGAGGTCTGGGAGAGGGTGGTGGGGATGGAGGGCTCTCTCAGGGGCATCGGAGGATGTGGGGGTCTTGCCAAGGGGCAGTTGTGAAGGGGGCACCAGGGACATGGACTTTAGTGGGGAATATGGGGAATATAGGTGGTGTGGGGGTCTGGACAGGTAGGGAGAATCTGGGGATAGGCATATAGGGCTGTGGCAGGGAGCACCTGGGCCATGGACTTTGGTGGTGTGGAGGTCTGCACAGGTAGGGGGAGTCTGGGGCTCTGGCAGGGGGCACCAGGGATGCGCTGAGGATCTGGCCAAGGACTGGGGCATTTGGAAAGCCTGGCATAGGTCGGGTAGGGTGTTTGGGGTTCTGGTGGGTGGGTGTATCAGGGCGCCGGGCTCTGGCAGGGGGTTGGTCACGTTGGAGTCAGTCTGGGAGCTATAATTGTGGGGGCCTGGGACTCCCCTCCAGCAAGCCATGGCCTGTCCGTCGGCTGGAAGATCCAGGGATGCGGAAGTGCTCCCTTGCCTTCTCCTGCAGCGATGGGTTACTCCAAAGCACCCTCCATTGGCCTCCATGCTCCCTGGAGCCCTCCAGCACCTCTACTCCTGGGCTGCAGGAAGGGCCTGACAGCGCTTAGAAACCAAGGACTGCGGCTGAGTGTCCTAGAAAGCACCTGCTGGGGCCTCGGCTGTGACATGCTCCCGCCCTGGGGGCATCATGTGCCAATTTCCTGTCAATTCCCAGGCTTTGAACCCTGTCCTAAGTGTCAAACCCGTCCTGAGCTAGGGGCCAGAAAAGAGAACCAAAGTGTTGCCATCTTTGAAGTGCTAATGGGACGCCCTCTTCTCTGTGGTGATGGGGCCAGATAATGACCTGGACAGATAGGAGACGCTAGGGCTAACTCAGTCCTTTGAGGGATTTTCTGGACTATCCCTTCCTGGTTCCTCTGTGATGCTCAGGGGGCTTCAGGGAGCTGGGGAGGGGGGGGGCATTGAGGGTGTGGAGCTCTGGGAGAGGATGGTGGGGTTGGGATGGAGGCAGAGGAGCGGAGTGGGGCCAGGTGGGGCCCGGAGTGCTATCTGTGGCAACGCATTCATACTTCTCTCTCCTTTTCAGTCCCCTTTTGGTGATCAAGCAAAGGAAGGGGATGCGGCAGCAGAAACCCAGTAAGCCAGCCCGACTCGAGGGGCATCCATCGCGGCACTAACGCCGAATCCCCTGGCACTCCGCTGGCGTGGGGGCACGGCGCTCTCGAGCGGTCTCGTCCCTCTGGGCGCTGACCTCTCTGCATGGAGCGGGAGGTGATGGGGTCGAGGCCGTTTATAATCCAGTCTGCCTCTCTGGAGGGCTATTGGACTCCAGGCTGAAAGCCGCCGGCTGCTGGAGGGATACAGCGCGTTACTGGCTTGGCGGCATCTCAGTGGTGCTTGGGGGCTGGAGTGAATGTATTGAACGGGGCCAAGATGGACACAGCTGCTGAATGGGCAAGGGGGAAAGGTGGTCTAGTGGCTATGGTGCTCACCTGAGACTCAGGTTTCATGCCCTGTGTGACCTTGGCCAAGACACTGAGGCCCAGATCCTCCAAGGTATTTAGGCACCTCACTCTCGTTGATTTTAACCATTGGGCCTCAGTCTCTTTGTACCTCAGTTTCCCTACCTGTAATATGGGTTGTGAGAATAAGTACGTTAAGATTGTGAGGTGCTCAGATACTTGGGCGGGGGGCAGATCATAGAATCATAGAAGATCAGGGTTGGAAGGGACCTCAGGAGGTCATCTAGTCCAACCCCCTGCTCAAAGCAGGACCAACCCCAACTAAATCAGATAAGTACCAGAGAGAGATACAGATCCATGGGGGGACTAAGCCAGTGTGGAAGGGAGTCTTCAAGTTCCCCTGCTCAAGCGCAGAGGAGGCTACCGGAATACGCAGCTATACAGGAGAACAGCCGGGCTTGTGCTTAAAGCACAGATCCAGGAGATCTGCCATTGGCTCGCTGTGTGTCCTGGGACAAGTCCCTCCCACTCTCGGCTTCCCCCAGGTAAAAGAGGGCTGGCGATGCCTGCGTCATTCCAAGGGAGGGTTGTGAGGCTGGTGTGTGCTTGGAGATCCTCAGATGAGAGACATGCTAGAAGGACAAAGCGTTACATTGGAACTGCCAGAGTGGATCAGCTCTATGGCCCATCTCGGTCAGGAGCCTGTCTCTGACAGGCACCAGCACCAAATGCTTCAGAGGAGGGTGTAAAAAGCCCACAGTACAGATGTGGGATAATCTGCCTGCCTTCCTCCCACATACACTAGGTCTCATCCTGGCCTCTGACTGAGATCGGCTAAAGTCCTGAAATACAATGTTTAATATCCCTTCCAAACTTTGTTATCCATAGAACCATCCAACCCCCTCTCTGAATTTTACTAAGTTCTTGTCCTCAATGGTATCATGTGGCAGTGAGTTCCACAGGTTAATTACACACTGTGTGAACAAATATTTCCTTTGCTAGTTCTGGCTGTGCCACCACCCACTTTCATCCAATGTCCTTATGGTTCCTGTGTTCCTGCGATGTCATGTGGCCAGTCTGTGCCTCTCAGCAGCATCGCAGATCTCCTAGTGGGGCTCTGAACCACCTCCACTGCTGTTGGACATAGAGGGAGATTTAAACACGGACTCCGTTTTATTTTCCTTGATCCTTCACTCTTCATACTCTTGGGATGCACTCCCCATAGACCTCCATGAAGTCACCTCATCATCCACCGTCAGAACTCTCCTTTGCCATGCTGCCTACAAAACACTGGCCAATGGCCAGGCCGCTGGAGCACAGAGACCACTGCCTCTCGTACTGACCAGTGCTGTCTCATGGTTTCCTTGTGCTCCCCATGGCGGTCTCCATCTGTTGTCTCTTGTCTTATACTTAGATTGTTAGCTCTTTGGGGCAGGGACTATCTTTTTGTCCTGTGTTTGTACAGCGCCTAGCGCACTGGGGGCCTGGGTCATGACTGGGACTCCCAGGTACTGTGGAAATACGAATAATACTAAGCTTCATTCTTCCTACGCCTGCAGGCGAACCTGCTACCGATGACGTCAAAGCTCGAGCAGTGGAGGAAATGATGGCCAGGATCAAGAGCGGGGTTGCCCTGAGACCAGCAAAGAAGGACAGGGCTGCGTTGTCCCAGGTAAACAGTGGCACCGGCATGTAGGAAGGGAGGCTCTGGTCCCTGGCATCCACCAAGGAGTGCAGCCCCCTGATATCAATGGTGCTTGTAATAGCCAGTGTCACAGGGATGGCTCAGGCAGGGGAGTCAAGGAGAGGAGGTGTTGGGCCTTTCGCCGTGGTTCCAATCCAGACATGGGTTCGAGGGACCGTCGGCTGGCTCCAGGAGGGAAACAGAAGGATAGGACAAGGCCTTTCATCTGTAGGGCCCCAGATCCAGCCGGCCCGGGATTGGGGAACGGGCTGTGGAGCCCGGCGCGGGGCAGATAGATGCCCAGACTCTTTACCAGCTGATAACTGCCCGTGTGACGGGAGGGGGTGGTTTCCCAGGGGAGGGGAGTCCATGTCACTGAATGCCAGTCCTAGCTGGCCGGCTTGTTTGGCAGCCTCAGGAGTGAGGCGAAGGACCCCAGGCCGTTGGGATATGCGCGCGGGGGGTGTCTGTGCTGGGGGAGGGACAGCGGAATCCTCTCTCAAGAGATCTTCCCTCTCAGGATCGCTCAACAGCAGCCAGCAAACGCAAGAGCACCGTGCTGGAGCTGCAAGGGATCCTGGTAAGCGGCTTTAGACCTCAGCTTGCTGTGCAGAAAGGCACCGGTGCCTGGGAGAACCCTTTACATTCGCACACAGGACAGGACAGATGCAGAAAGCTGAGCACGGCGGGGCATGCAGGGCAGCCCCCCGTCCTGCAGGAATGTGCCTTCATCGAGCTACTCCAGGACAGAGCCGTTCCCAGGACCGGCTCCAGGGGTTTTGCCGCCCCAAGCGGCGGAAAAAATTTTTAAAAAGCCACGATCACAGTTGTGATCGGCGGCACTCTGACGGCAGCTCCACCGTGCCGCTTTCTTCTTCGGCGG